TTTTCAAAGAAAAAAAGATTACAGTTAATTGAAACCTGTTATGGAAAAGAAATGTAAGCAACAGTTATTGACCTTCTCCAGAAAAAGCTATTTGCCTGGTTTTAAAAGCCCATTCACAATATGGAGTCTATTAAAAAGTTTCAGAGCCTGTTCATCCAGTGAAACCGCAGGCACATTCATTCTGTGCAAGCTGACCAACTGTTGTGAGAATGGGGCAAACATGTATTTTCTCTGGTTTTGAATGTTCTTTGGTTAATTCACAAAGAACAGAGTGAATCAGGAAATACTGCATTATGACCACTAGATGGTGCTGAGAATCATAGGAAATACATGTTAGTAACCAGGTACAATGTTACAATTCAACAGATCAATGGTTCAGTGTAACCATTGCTATCCCTGTAGTAGCAATGGTTGCATTTATATGCTAACTCCCTCCAGTGGTTTCTAGTAATGAGTTTAATCAAGATACTACACGGTACAATGTATCATAACAATGTAACATGCAGTACAATGTGCATTTTGCTGCATGTTAACCTACTGCATCAACATGCTATGGGCTCTTCAGTCCAATTCCAGACAAAACTGACAGAGCTTCAGATCCTACTGCTTTCTTTCCGCAAGTACAAATTCCTGTAGCTCTTATCAGAATGCAGTGTCCTCCTGAGCTAAAAAGTCAGTAAAAACAATGTTATCTATCTTTTTTGAACCTCCATCCCCCTCCTCCATGTACTGCAGATGAACAAAGGCAGACATATTTGAAGTACATCCTGTTTGGCAACCATGGCTTTCTTATAGGTACAGTGGAGAAGTGTAGCCACTAAGGGGCAGGAAGTGTCATTTGCAGGGATTACAAAGGGAATGAGGGAATGAGGTCAATAAACTTATTGCAGCCACCACATCGATGGACTGGAAAGCTGGAATGCCTTGACAAAGTATACACCCCATTGGTGTTTTTCCTATTTTATTGTATTACAACCTGGAATTCAAATTGTTGACAGTGGGGTTTGTATTATATGATATACAACATACCCACCACTTATTTGGTATAAAATAATATTTAATGTGATGCAAACAATAATTTAAGACCAAAAAATAAATAAACTCAAAAATATTGAGTGTGTATGTATTCACCCCCCAAATGTCAATGCTTTGTAGAGCCCCCATTTGATGCAATTACATCTGCAAGTCTCTTAGGGTATCTCTATTAGCTTGGCATATTCTTCAAGGCAAAACTGCTCCAGCTCCTTCAAGTCATGCCACAGATTCCCACTGGATTGAGGTCTGGGCTTTGACTAGGCCATTCCAAGACATTTAAATGTTTCCCTTTAGACCACTGCAGTGTACCTTTAGCAATATGTGCATTGTCATTGTCCTGATGGAAGGTGAACCTCCACCCCAGTCTCAAATCTGTGACAAACAGATTTTCTTCAAGAATTGCCCTAAATAGTGCCATCCATTTTCACTTCAATCCTAAGTTTTACGCGGGTCAATGAAAAGCGTGGTGTTGTTCAGGGTGAGGAAACTGTTGGGTTTGCATCACACAGCCTTTCCCATGATGGCTAAAAGCTCAATTCCTTAGTCTCATCTGACCAGAAAACCTTCTTCCATATGTTTGGGGAATCTGCCACATACATTATGGTAAATTCCAAACGTGTTTTTTCTTTTTTTTTCTTAGCAGTGGCTTTTTTTCTGGCCTGCCTTCCATAAATCCCCATTCTGTTGAGTGTATGGTTTAAAGTAGTCCTATGGAGAGATGCTTCCATTTCCGCTGTTGATCTTTGCTGCTCTTTCAGTGTTATCTTTGGGGCTTTTTGTTGCATCTCTGATTTAATGGCCTTCCTGTCCGGTTTGTGAGTTTTGGCAGTTGGCCTTCTCTTGTAAGGTTTGTGGTGGTGCCATATTCTTTCCATTTTTGTTATGGGTTTAACGTCACTGGCACCGGGCGCGTTTTATACAGACTCCCGGCGGCTAAAGACGCCGGGACTCTGTTTACAATTGTAACGCCCGACTGCTGGCTTTACAAAAGAAGCGATCTGGTGACTCAGCTGTTACCAGATCGCTTCTCCGGGCCAGTAAACGGGCCGCCCCCGCCGTGTTTTCCGGGCTTTGCTGCCCCCGTTCAACGATCCCACTCCCCGTACTATAGGACCGGGAGCGATGCAGATTGCATCACTTCCTGTCCCATAGCTGTCAGTGCCGGGCTCCTGAAGCCCAGCTATAAGCTATTGAAGTGCAATCTCTACTTTTTAATAGCTTATTTCAAGTGTAAAGGTGACATTGGAGCACGCGTGTCTTCACATAAACATGCGCCTACGTATGAAAACCACGATCACGCTACACATGTTGGGCATCGCCGTGCACGCCAGAGTGAGAGCAATAATTATAGGGCCAGTATTTACGTGAATCTCTAAATTAATGATCTGTGGGGTGCTTTTAAGCATTGTCTATGGACTTTTTGGGGTGCTGAATTTTGTTGCAGTTTCATGGACACAATTTTTTAACCTGGGCATTTTGGGTATCTATTAGACATGTGCACTGCCAAAAAATTTGTTTTCGTTTTAAATTCGGATTTGTGTTATTTCGTTTTTCGGGATTCGGGTGTGAAAGTCAATTCGGAATTCGGATTCCGACAAAATTCGGTAGCGGTAGGTCAAACGTTCGTTTCTTATTTGTTTCTTATTTGTTTCTTATTTGTTTCTTATTCGTTTCTTATTCGTTTCTTATTCGTTTCTTATTCGTTTCTTATTCGTTTCTTATTCGTTTCTTATTCGTTTCTTATTCGTTTCGTTCATTCGTGACATTTGAGGGGGAAAAAATATTTTTCTCCTTCTCTAATGTCACTTTTTTTTTTTTTTTTTTAAATCAGATAATTTTTTTATTTAACATTTTCAGACAAAAAACAATCCACACACGTACAAAGTACAATGTCAAAGCGTTGCAGATACTTATTGATGTAAAGGATAATACACTTCAAAACGAGACACAAATCAAGTAAAACAAACAAAAAAAAAGAACAAACAAAAAAACAAAAACCAATAGAACAATACAGAGGCGTACATACAATATGTGCACATACAGTAGCATCGTATTGAGCCGTCCACCCTGGAACTGCCCACACACATATCCAACCATCCCAGTCTCGCAGATGATTCTAGACATTCGGCCCAATCCCAGTAACCGTCACAGGTATAACCCATAGCCACAGGCCTGGCCTCAAAACAGCACACCCTCCTTAATCTGTGCACCCACGTGCCGCTGCTCCTCTGTAAGACTGCCATGCGGCCCATAATTTCTCACATTTGTTCAGGCTCCCTCTCTGTTCGGAGGATTACCCCCTGCAAGCTGACTGGGAACAGGAGACTGGCAAGGTGATTATCAGAATGATATGCAGGATTTCTGTGGAGAGCTCGTTCCAGTGCGACTGTCTACATGCGGCTGCTGGCCACGCCCCCCTAATGTCACTTTGCTCGAACGAAACTAATAAGAACCGAAAACAAAACGAACGTTCGAACTACCGCTACCGAATTTCAGAAATGGAAATTCTGATTCAGAAATGGAAATTCGGATTCGTTTGCATTCGTTATGTCTGTAATTTGGAATTCTGATACATCTGAATGTCGGAATTTCCGAAAATGGGTATTTAATTGTGTTTTGGGGCATGTAAGTGCATTTTTCACAAAATTTGGGGTTTGATAATAAGTTGCGCTAATATCGTGCTACATAAAAATTTGCAACTGCCACCATTTTATTCTACGGGTCTTGGCTTTCGGAAAATATATAGTGTGGGGGTTTGAAGTAATTTTTCAGGCCTAATATGTGGATTATTACATGGATACAAAAAATTAAAATAAAAGGGGGGCAATGGAGCTCTGTGGGATGTTCAAAGATTGGAATTGTATTATTATTTTTATTTTTTATAACCCAACCCTGATCTGTGCTACTCCGCAACATTCTCTCTGACCTGTTTGGAGAGCTTCTTGGTTGTGGTGTGTGCATACTCGGGCTTTTCAGAACAGGTGTATTTACTCGGGCTGCAACAACTAATTGATTAAATAGATTATAATCGATAATTAGAATCATTGGTCACTATTCTCATCATTGATTAGTTGCTTTTCAATTGGTTCCCGCCGCTCTGCTCCGCCGTTCTCCTTCCAGCTGGTGCTGGATGCAGTGGTCTGTGCCTGTCGGTAGAGGCAGTGGGGACACAGACTATTTGAGCCGGGACCAGCGGGGGAGACATCTGTGACTGCATTCCTCCCCGTACCTCCACTGTTATGTTTTCTCCTCTGCCAGATGGATGGAAAATTCTTCTTGAACCAACTAAACCAGTGAATGCCTTCTTTTGGGGAAAACTTCATTCATTCCAAAATTGAATGTGAAAATTGTATAACATTTTTCTAAACAAATTTTGTCAAGTATCTGATGGCATTATCAAATGTTCTAACGAGAATTTTCGTTTGACTGTTCATACAAAATTTTACTGGTGTATGGCCATTATGCATAGCAGAGCAGGATTGTCAGCTATAGTGATAGAGTAATGTGGAGAAGGTTTGCACAATCATCACAGCAATTCATGAGCAGAAATATAAAAAGTTGCCTGTTAAGTTTTTCCGTGAAATGTTTAGTAGATTTGTTAGAGTTCTTTCATGACAGGGCATTGTGAGAGAGGCACCAGAATTATGTTCATGTGTTAGCATTGCTCCTAAAATGTCATGTGGCTATTGATCTCAGAGGAAATCTTCACTTGGATGTTTAAAAACAGATTGCCAGAAGCAAGGTGACTTTAACCTTGCCAGGCTTGAAGCTTCCTGGCGTTTTAGTGTGGAAAAAAAGGATTTTTGTTTCTGTGATGGTAGATTTAATTACAGTCGGTGCGGTAGAGTCACTTGCTGTTGTGTTTTTTTTCTATTTTATAACTTTAATGGCGGTGCAAGTTATAGGTGAACTTGAAATATTATGGTCATAACCGTTTACACGGCTTTACATTTTTTGTCTTTCAGGGTCAGCTCTCAATATTACAAGACAAAATTGATCACTTGGAGCGCCTCCTAGCAGAAAATAATGAGATCATTTCTAATATAAGAGACTCTGTAATAAACCTGAGCGAGTCTGTAAAAGATGGTCAGAAGAACCCAGAAGCCATAAACTCTAGTCGTGGATCCCTTTCTCCGCTTTTTCCGTCCGCACCTGTATTACTTCCAGTCAACATGGAGGACTGTCAGTTTGCTTCTGCAAGTAGTAGGCAAAAAGCCGAAGTCCAAGTAAGTCATTTTATTTTATAATCTGAATTTGTGTTATTTATAATAAAGCTTTGTTTGTCTGATTGTAGAACATGTCTGGACTGCCACCATTTGTCTTGTATTGATCAGTATCCCCAATATATCAACAGGGCTGATCGTATCTCTTCACACCTTCCCACCAGTGTAATGCATATATGTGGGCAGTAGCACCAGCTTCAAGCTGATCCATTTGCAGGCTAGTGTTCTGTGTTGAGAGCACGCTCACTCGTGCATTCCCTGCAAAAGTGATCACGTTGTCACTGACATCACCTGGTCCATGTTTATGTATATCGTGAACTGGTGGGATAGGATCTCAATCTTGTAACTGCTGTGTCAGCCAATCACAGCGACCACATGATTGGAATGCACACCTTTTACCTGGCATCTAGATTCCCTTATAGGGGAATCGCTTATTGTTTTTGTCCCCTTCCCCCCTCTACAGATGCATGCTTGGGATCCGATGACTCGGGCCTCTCCTGTGTTTGTTGACATCCCACAGCGCAAGTCCTCTCTCTTCTGATCTAGGTAGAAGTCTGTGGGGACTCATTTTGTGGTTGGGAGGAGGTAGTTGGCCCCATTTAAGTCTGAGGGCTACAGCGCGGGCGCAGCCAAGAGAAGGAACTTGCAGTGTGGAATGGAAACAATCCCTGGAGGGTGCTAGTGTCGGAACTGGATAAGTATACATCTGTAGAGGAGTGGGGTGGATCTGTTATATCAGGGGAGGAAGTGCACGTCGCTCTTAAGGAAATCCCTATTCACAGGTACTTCTAGTGTCTGCTGCCATCACTACTGATGCTGTGATTTTAAGTTGCTTTTACTTTTAAGGGGACTACTGTATACACTGTATACAGAAATCAAGCCCCTTTCACACAGGCGTTCGTCTGTCTGTTTTTTTGACTTATGATCAGAAGGATCAAAAATATTCTGCAATGTATCCATATAGGCATTAGCATGCAAGTGGTTGAGAGAACCTTTATGTACTGGTCCATTCTGACTAGTTCCGGCCCGGCTTTTACTGACCTGACTGGATGTGGGTGTATATATGCAGATGCACACCTGTTTACATCTAGCTGCCCAAAGTAATGACATGAATCCTTTTTTCACAAGATGGAAAGAAAAAAAAAATGATTTAGGACTTCCATTGGTGTAATCTTACTGTCTTGTGCTTGAGAGGGACAGTACAAATACACTTTGTCTACTAGTGTAGCTTCTACAAATCACTGCAACAAAATCGCCAGTGTGACACGAGACTAAAGGTGCCCATACACTGCGAATTTCGGCAGGTTCTTGAGGAACCAGCTGAAATGTGCACAGTGTGTGCCAGCTGGAAAATCTTTGTACGACGGCAGCCAAGGAGCTGCCGGCTCTGTTTGGGTATTCTGACAGCTGCTGTCGGAATACAATGCAAACAGCGTGGATTCTTCGCTCGACACACTTCATTCAGCTTGTGGGTTGAAGGAGAAAAATAGAGCAGTGTACGGCCACCCTTAGGGAGAGGGAGCAGTATTAGAAGCCAGTTGGACTCTGCAGTAGATGTGCCAAGGGAACATTGTGCAAAGTTGATGAGTTATGAGTGTGTTGCTGCTCCTCAACTGTCCTGTCAGCAGGCGGAGAGTTCTACAACTCGTGTCAGTCAAGCAAGAACAATTTTATCATGAACCTGAACTCCGGGTTAAGGAAATATTGTCTAAATACAACAGATGTGTATTCTTATTTCTCTTTTAATAAAGACTGGTCAGTGCTGTTCTATCTTATTGTGCAGGGTGACTGGTCTTGTATCCGCCCACCTCCTGTAGTTTTCTGCAGGCAGTCTGTAGTGGGTGGGGCCTGCAGTTCTGTTCTTTGTACAGCCTACGTGCAACACAGTAATGATGTCACTGCCACCTTTGCAAAGTAATATCTGTGCTTGCAAAGGCATTTGGTGCACACAAAGTTGATTATTATGCTTTGTGGCTATTGATGCACATACAGTATTTAAATGAACATTTTTGTGCCTGAAGGTCAGCTTCAACCCTTTAGCTACCTGACTGGTTATCCCCCAGACACATTAAAATGCTTATTTTTGGCCTGAAAATGTACTTAAAGCACAAACTATTTTTAGTTTCTAAAAGTAGAAGGTAATAAAAGCATGGTAATTGCAGTACATTTCAGTAAAAAATGTTAACTGCAGTACATATAAAGACAATATAATCTAGCTTTTTTGTTTTTGTGGAAAGATAAAAGATGAGACTGTTGAGTAATTACCATGTATGCCGAGCATCAAATTGTTTCTTTGGGAAATGGCAAAAAAATTTTACTCAAAATTATTCCTAGGCGACACATTTAAAAGCCTTTATAGATCAATTTATAGTTAACTGTAAATTCTGGTCTGCCCTGGAATATCTAGCTTTGTGCAGTCGGCATTTACATACGCATGTCTTCCTAGGTGTGAATGTTTGTGGGGGGTTTAAATTAGAGGTGCACTGAAATGAAAAAGTCAGTCCGCAGCCAAAATGTTTTTTATTCTAACTTTTTCAGATTTTTAAAAATATTTTTTTATTACATTTTTATTTACTTCTAGTGGCTTCAGGGGTCTTAACAGACCCCTGATATTTACCTTTTTAAAACGGAAAAAGAGATTGAGGACTCATCCTCAATCTTTTTCTGCAGCCCCTGTGATCACCTTCTGTGATCACAGAGCAGCGCCCAGCGGGGAGGAAAGAAGTCACGGATGCACTGCTGTTTTGGGCAAAAAATTGCACTTTTGGCATTTTGCCAAAAGTGCCCTTTTCGGCTGATATATCGGTACATCGGCGGTTTTGGCGGCAGATATATCGGTACATCCCTAGTTTAAATTATTTTGCTATATTTTATTTTTCTTGTTTACTTCATTGCTATCACAAGGGGACTGAGAAGCCATTATGCGGTATTGTGGAGTGATCGGTCATCTGTAACCCATTTGCTGCCAATACCATTTTCACAATTTTTTTTTTTTTCCCGTTTTGCAGCCACAAACTAAAATGCTTATTTTTAAAATGAAAACGCACTTAACCCCCTAAACATTATATATTTTGTTAAAGAAAAGGCGTTGCAGAATAAAAAGATGGTAGTTTCAATTTTTAATGTTGCACGTTGTTCGCACTACTGTTCAGCAAATCCTTTTTTTTCCAGTACAAATACAGTGAGAGGATTTTATCAGAACTGGAGCAGACAAAATCTGGAGCAGTTGCCCCGGGCAACCAATCGGCTTCTCGCCTCAATTTGTTCAGTTAAGATTTGAAAATGAAAGCGAGAAGCTGATTGGTTGCTGTGCACAGCTGCTCCAGATATTGTCTGCTCCTGACTGTGCCTCCAGGCATAAATATTCACATATATTGGCTCATATAAGTTGATACATGTAAAAATGTATTTTATACGTCACACTTTTTTTTTTTTATATTCTTTTATTCAATAATGAGAAATATTTTTATGACCCAGTGATCATGTGGACAGTGTTGGACACAGTCACAGAGGGATTCTGGTTAGGGGTTGCTTTACTTTTTCAAACAACTGCCAAAAAGCTTTTGCTGAGCTCTTTTTAGTGCCCTTACCTCCCAATTTCTGTACTATATATCCCTTCTCTTTCACTCAGTTCCCAAAGCAATTATGTTGGACTCGGTTGTTATTGACTGTCAGAAAGAAAAAAGACCAGTGTTCAGGTAGACGGTCTAAAAGTACAGGCGGCTTGTGACATTTCTGTGGGCTTTCACACACGGCTTGACAAATCCCAGGAGCCAAGTAACCAGTGTTCCTTTAATATTACAGCTGGCACTTAACTTTTGAGGTTTTCTTTAGCGGTTATCAATGGAGCTGGCTCCAAAAAAATCTGCTGGCACCTGAATTGGACAGAGTGCCTCCTGAATTCCTTATTCATTTGTCCACCCCCTGCTTTAACACGTGATCCAGGCCAAACTATTGTTAATCTGGTGATCAGCATATTTGCATTCTCACATGCTATGATTGAAGTGTCCTGTGCTATAATCATGGCATCTGCATGCATATGTAATATCTCATCACAGATGTTCTTCTCAGTTACTTATCTGGACTGCCTGTCTGTACTCACTTTTTACTCTTAGGGTGATGTCACATGAGAACTTTTCCTGTCAGTGATTTTTTAATTGGCAATCACCTCCTAAAATTCCACACTCAATTTATAGTCCATTTCTGTACGAAAGTCAGTGGGAAACCCCTTGTCGTTGTCCTTGCGTTATTTGGGAGATGTTCTGCTTTGACAGAGTAGTGACCATGGAATTCCTGGCAGGAAGAGCTATCATCTGACATTTCCCTGACTAAGAGAAATTCTTTTGTAGAAGCACTTTCGAGAAAATTATATTGAGCGGCCTTAATTTCAACCCTAAAATAAACCATGTACAAAATTTAATTTTAAGCTATTCAGTCCAGTCTATATTTGCAGTGCCGCATTAAAAGTGACTGGGGAATATAACCACAAAACCAAAAGTGCTTTTTTTTGTTTTGTTACCCTTGGCTACTCTTTTTGTCCAGCTCTGCTAAAAGACTGTTTGCATTCTCATCATACTTTTAAATTGTGGCTCTCCGCTCCTTTTTATATTTTATTCTTGTATTAAATTATTTTGTTTTATAACCTATTTTTATTTTTTTTTTAACTTCTCGACTTTCACATCAAAGAAGGAGTTCCCTTATCCTCTTCTTTTGACTCCATTTCCCCAGCATTCATTTTATAAAATACTTACCTACAGCTGATGATGAGCAAACAGAGCAGACGTTCCCGCAACCAGGGGTTTATCTACTGCAAGGCAAACTAGGCATTTGCCCAGGGCGGCACTTTCCAGGGGGGTGCCAAAAAATGCTGCCCCCAAACCAGCTAGGAAAGAGAAAAAAAAATATATTAAAAATTATTCATAAATTACTGCCAGTACTCCTGGACCTGGTGCTTCTTTGACTGGGGGACCAACATGTCCACCTATGCCGCCTACTCCATGTATGCCGGCTGCAGCTCCTTCCTTTTCCTGGTCAACATGCTGTGCAATGTATTGGTGTGCGTGACTTTCATCTGGATGCACTGGCAGTTCATGCGCCGGACCTCCCTGGGAAACCGGCACCCAAATCTCTGACTTCAGGCAGCGGAGGAGCTTCCGCAGGACCTCACGGCTGAGATCCAGATGGCAATCGTGCTCATCGGCAGCTCCGTGGTGGTGAGTCCGGGGAAGTGCAGCCTATAAGCTCTATGCAGGGTTATGTCTCTAGAGCGGGGCGAGCTACAGAGCCCAGAGGCAGAAGATTGGTAACTGCAGAATTAGACAGCCCAGCATATGAAGGCAGAAGATCGGTGTTGCAGCTGCAGGACTAGAGACTAGCACAGCATGGCAGGGCAGGAGAAAATGGTTGTTGTAGCTGCAGAACTAGGGAGCCCATCAAGCCAGGAATGTAGCAGGTGGCTATTGCAAAGGTAGAACTAGAGCGCCCCGCTACGTTGATAGCGCAACCTGTCAGAATCTAGATATACCGCGTGCGCTGAATCCCGCGAATGACAGGTTATGCAAAATATGTCTTAAACAGGGAGGGGTGGGACTAATTTAGATTAGAGATGGGGGCGGGGTTGTGCTCGGGTTTAGTCTTGCCTAGGGCAGCACAAAACCAAAATACACCCCTGCCCGCAACCCTGAGTTCAATTCACGAACCCTGAACCATTGAAGTCTGAGAGAGCTGACTCTTGCTATTTTCTGGCATTTTTAAGAACAATTTGCAAGACTGTTCTTTTTTTAGGCAATTGGTAGTAGGGCACTGCATGGGGCAAATGTTCCAATGCAAAATTAAATGTTAATGCATTAAAAATGCATAATTGTTATAAGTAACGTGTGGGGAATGCTGTTAACTTGCATGAAGTTGCACATCTGTCAGATGTACTGCTGTGAAAGTGACCTTTAGAAAGAAAAAAAAAACACTATAGCCCCTATGAAGACTTCAGTGAGTAGGCTGTGTAGGCCAAGCAATTGGTACTAACTGCTTAATTAGACCTGTTGGTTTCCATTATTACTCCATTCATAGAAAGGGCCAAAACACTAAGGAATTGATTGTCGTGCGTGCGTACACTCCATGCTCATTTCCTGCCATTTAGCATGAGAGCGGGAGACACAGTTCCCGCTCACTTAAGCCCCACACACACTGAGATTTGCAGCGATTTTTGCAGCGATATCACTCATATTTCCACGCGATATCGCTCTATGTAGCTTCTCCAATCCATTTAAATGGAGCTGTTCACATCTCGTCCAATATCGCTGGTAGCTTGTCGCTCCTACATGACCCTTTTTTCGAGCGATTTCGAGCGATATTGCTCCTGATTGCATACAGCCCAATAGGAAAAAGTCGCGCAACAAGTCGCTCAATATCGCTCGTCGCGCAATATCGCTCAAAATCGCGCGATTTTCATGTCGCTCAGTGTGAATGGGGCCTCAGTCTGTACTGCTGCCTACAGTGTCCTGGTAACCTCCAGCCTTTTGAAACTCTCCTGTTTTCAGCAGTCAGTTTGTAAGTATTCAAGGTTTTTACCTTGTCCCTGTTTGCGGTGCAACAGATCTGTTTTTTTAACCTGGGCATGTTGGGTATCTATTTACTTGTTGTAACCTCCTATTTTATATTTTGTTAAAAAAATGGGTTTTGTGTTTGGGACACTAAATTTTTCACAAAATGTTTGGGTTTAATACATTGCACTATTATCATGCTACATAAAAATTTGCAACTGCCACCATTTGATTCTACAGGGTCTTGACTTTCAGAAAATGTTTGGGGGTTTTGAAGTAATTTTCAACTAAAATGTGGATTAGAACACAATAGCAGGGTGCAAAAAACAAAAAAAAGGCCTCGGTCATTAAGGGTTTAAAAGAACCTATAGACAAATGTTTGGAGACTCTCTAAAGCTCTGTTTACAATGCAGTCTACCATGGCTATGATGTTCGTTTGCCAAACATTAATGGAATGGACTTAACTCATGGCAAGGGATCCAGCTTTACTGCACACGAATCCTATCTTTTGTAGAGCAAACATGATACATGTCAGAAGTGTTTACTGTGCATGTCCTTCAAGATGCATCTAATTGGATCTGCCTTGGACACTCATCAAAGATGTCACTGGGGATAAGAGTACTTCACCTTAAGTGGAGAAGAAAGGTTTCAGAGATTCTCTTCCAACCTTCTCACAATTCCAGAGCGAGCATCTGACCTCAAGGCCTTAAATGTCTTCATTCGATCCTAAAATTCTGAATGGAATCCACCTGGTCTGTCATTATTTTATCAGAGTGAAATTCTAATGCTTCTGGGGCATTCCTTTTATTGGGTATTTGGATGAATTCCTGTTGAGAGAACAGTCGGCTTAGGTCCTGACCAACAATGTGGCAGGGACACTTTATACCATTTAAAGGGTTCCATTTAGGGATGTCCTAATACTAGTATCTGTATCTGGGCCGGAACAGGGGATTTTCATGAGTACTTGTATTTGTGAAAATGCTCCGATAGATTATTTTCAAAATCGATTAGTTAGCCGATTTATTAAGTTCGATTTAATCGGTTAAACAATAACATACATTTTAAAAAATGGCTCCAGTGATGGACTACTAGTTTGTATTGAGGTTGTAGTCCATCACAGGAGCAAGCTTGGAGCGGTGGAAGTAAAAAAATGGTGTGGTGTGCAATATAGTGAAATGGCAAGTGTAAAATTATACAGCAATGAATGCAGAATGGCATCGGCTATAGAGGACTACAAATCCCAGCAATAGTACATTATACAGCGCAATGCAGAATATCAGACTTTGAGTGCGATCCAGCATTTCACAAAATCAGATAGAAGTGACATTTCAGGACTGATCAGCTGTTCCAGGGCAGATCGGTTCTCCTGCACATACCATCTGCGATGCCGATCTGCCATGGAAGAGCTGAGAAAGCATTTTATTTCTTCACCTTTTGCCGGTCACATATTTTACTGCAGAAAAAATGGGTGTGATTATGTTAAAATGTGTGACCTCGTGACCGGTCACACATTCCAACCTAGTCACAATCTTTTATGGAACACCGGATCGTTGTTTGGTGAAGGAGGAATGAGGAAGAGTGCTTACTTTGGGCAGATTGTTGCTTTAAAACAATTCTCATGCCTGTAATACCACTAGTCGCCGCAGGAGGGGTAGACTCTCCCAAATGTATCTGCCCTGAACACACCGATACAAATCTGGCATACAGTCAGTTGCACACTAGCGGCTGTGCAGTAACCAAGTTATTACCACACACTTCTGTGATTCCTCAAGCTATCCTGTGAACTAGAATCCTTTTGTGATCACTTTTCTTACTGCCCACTTATACTCCTACACACCAGACACAACTTACAGTAGTTTGCCACCACCTGCAGTTTGTCAGCTGGCTGGGCTGCTAGGCAACTTTAAGCACACTGACACTAAACTGCATGCAGTTAGTAGCCACACTACTGCAAACGTGACTGCAAACTTACAACCGAGCAATGCAACAGCTTTCTGTAGTGTCTGATCCTCCTGGGATCAGATTCTGCTTGCCTGACATAGTTTTTGGGGGCTTGTCTGGCAGTTTGTGGGAAAGGTGCAACTGGAAATACATTTCCTATTAATTTCTAATGATAATCACCTTATTATCTTTGCTTAAAGATGATCTTCAGGTCAAACCCCCTTCTCTAAAGCATGCCTCAGTGTTGATTTATTGTTTTATTACTCCCAGTGATATTACCAGGCATGTACAATTGCAAGTCAAGGCAGTGGCATTGTTTTGCTGAGAAGGAAATGCATGCACATAGAGAGGTTCAGGGAAACTGAGTTCTGTAGTCCAGAAGAGAACTCAAAGCAGAGCTGACAACAGTGCTTGTGGTTTCACTGCAGAAGGCACTGCGTTGTCCACCAGCAACAAGAATTAATATTTAAGTCGCCAGACATTCTTTTCTATACTTGCTGCATTTTAAATGGATTAAACATGTGGAAATGTGCATGTATTGAGAGATGTACCACATTTGTTTTGCCCACACATATACTTTAAGATGTGTTTTTGTTTTTCATTTCAGATGCTGGATGTGTATGACATTCTTCCATTTGATAATCCAGATGGTGGGGTTTGGAAGCAAGGTTTTGAAATAACCTACGATGAACATGACTGGGATAACGACATTCTTCAGGTTTTTCTTGTGCCTCACTCCCACAATGACCCAGGTAAAGTAGAAATGCAGGCTTAACCTGAAGGTGAACAAGTCGTTCTAAATTGAATTAGTCTTTATATGTACAACTTCCTCCTCATGGGTGCATTTCAGCTAAATCTGACAGTAACCTCATTTGTGTTATTTTTTTTTCTCTCTGTGCTGCTTTCAGTGAAAAGTAGATTGATAGCAGGAACTTCTTCCTGTAGATGCGATTATTAATGCTTTTCCAATAATAAAAAGTACTTATAGGAAATTGCAGACCTCTTCCTGGTTTACCTGTTCTGGTAATATGTGACCCATGAAATAGAAATTGATTTATAAATACTGCTGCATTATTTACAAAGTGTTTTTTTTAAATTATTATTGTGTAATAAAGGGTTTTTCGGTTCGCTAGGTCATCGGTAATGACAAATTGTTGCTTTGCTGGCTTTATATTATGTGTCTGTGTATCATTTCTAAGTGTGTACCATGCAGTAGTTGAGAAGTGAAAGCAATACAGTTTGGATCTACAATTGCAGGTTTGGTCACCCTTTCGCTGCCGCCGGCATAGAGCGGAACACAAGTGCTTGCATCTGGCCACCTCAGTATGCCATGCGTCGGTGGCTTTTACCATTCCGCTATGAACTCATGGTCGCTTTAGCAACCATGGACTTATACCAGAAGGGTTCTCCTGACTCTTCCCTGTAAAATAATAGCTGTCAGCAGCGGCTGAGATGCCGCTGATGACAGCTGTTAATGAAAATTGCCGTGCGTTAATACGCTGTTGCAATTTAAATGTACACCTGTATCATTTTATCACAACACACACCAACACAGCGCTCAAACAAATTTTAACATGCCGTTTATTTACAGTTTTGTGGTACTTTTACTGTGGTAATTTTTTTTTTTTTTTTACTGTTTTGCAAAAAGGCTCAATTTGACATTTACACATTTGTTATTAACTCAATACAGTTTTATCTTTTAGATTTAGTCGGAAAAGTATGTTTTTTTTTTTGCGCACTGATAGAGATTTTAGTGTGCTTTTATCAATTTAATTGTGTGTTTTTTTTAATTGGTTTAATATTGATTTGATAAACATTTTGCGCAATTATCGCAGGACCTACAAAATTAGTAGCACCATCTTTTTATTCTGCCGGGCCTGTGCTTTCAGAAAATATATGGTTTGGGGGCGGGAGGGGTCTTTTACAAATGCTAGCAACGCACCAATAGAGAATCCAAACAAAAATGGTGTGGCCAGCTGCGGTTAAAAGCGGTCCGGAGGGCTCGGCAGCTAAAGGGTTAATGTCAATTTCCACCTTTTTGTAAGTGATTGTTGTGGTAATGTGGAGGTGCAGTGATGTATGCATGTCCACAATTTCATGACTTACATTGCAGGCTTTCCTCATTTATTTTTGTTTTTTATTAGGCCTGAATCAGTCCGACACCAGGGTCAGATTGTAATGAGGCAGTAAACAGCTTTCCCCCTCCCTTTTTATTCATTGTAACATGATTAGTAAACATCAGCTCTCCCTCAGGGTTGAGGGAAAGCTGAAGGGAGCAAAGTAAAGAGATATCCTCAATGAAAACCTGTTCCACATCGCTCAGGACCTCATACTGGGCCAAAGGTTCACCTTCCATCATGGCAACGATCCTAAACACACAGCCAAGACAACACAGGAGTGGCTTAGGGACAACTCTGTGAATGTGCTAGAGTGGCCCAGCCAGAGCCCTGACTTGAACCCTATTGAACATCTCTGGAGAGACCTAAAAATGGCTGTCCACTGCTGGATCCATCCAACCTGACGGACCTTGAGAGGATTTGCAAAGAAGAATGGCAGAAAACCCCCCAATCCAGGTGTGCAAAGCTTGTCGCGTCATACCCAAAAAGACCGAAGCTCTAATTGCTGCCAAAGGTGCTTCAGCAAAGTACTGAGTAAAGGGTGTGAATACTTATGTACATGTGAGATTTCAGTTCCTTTTTTTTCCTTAAATTCTGTTTTCACTTTGTCATTATGGGGGTACTGAGTAAAGATTCATGATAGAGAAAAGAATTTAAACAATTGTATCAAGCTGCAACATAACTAACTGGAAAAAAAGTGAAGGGGGCCTGAATACTTTCTGAGTGCACTGTATAATGTAGTTTTTGGCAAGCATGGTCACCCTTTTCAAGTTAGCAGAAATATTTTTCTTCTACATTCTTATTTGTTCTAATGGGTCTAGCTCTAAAAGGTAATTCCAAAAGATGTCACCAGCACTCCAAAAGTAGATTCAATATATTTTAATGACAACGGTCATTCAAAATCACAAGTACTTTCGGGGCCACGTTGGGTCCCCGTCATCAGGCTCAGAATAACACACTGTGCAACCCAAAACCCTCCCTCCCCCTGGTAAGATACATCACTATTGAACCTCACCTTCCACTTCTTTCCTGGTGTACAGTCCTCCCCAATTGCACCAATACAGTCTCTCCACCACATAGGACACATTCAGAGATATCAGACAGACTAATGCCAATCACTAATTACTGAATTAATTTTTATATTTTATTTTGATTTCTTTAACAAATCCGAAACTTTTTCATTAAGGGCAAGCAATGGCTACACCTTATTGATATTTTGCATATCTAAATTACGATTGCAACAATTCATTATTGCAACTATATGTGACCACATTTGTCAACAGTTGTATGATTCTGCACTTCTGTTATATATTGACTGACACTGTGTAATTTCCATGGATCGTGTTTAACATGCCACATGACTAGGTGGACCAATGGCGTTAGATCAGAGGGGCGGTACTACCACACAGCTGTTAGCTGACCAATTGTTTACCTAATTGAAAACCGACAGGGCGGGAAACATGTACTTGTTATGCAATTGGGGGCGGGATTGGCTGTGTTTTTAAAGGTCACAGATGTGTATATATGTAGGTTTGGGTTGCACAGTGTGTTATTCTGAGCCTGATGACGGGGACCCAACGTGGCCCCGAAAGTACTTGTGATTTTGAATGACCGTTGTCATTAAAATATATTGAATCTACTTTTGGAGTGCTGGTGACATCTTTTGGAATTACTACTTGACTACACGGTGCCTCCGTGGTCGCTACAAGCACCCTATTACAGACATCATCTCCTAGGAGATCCGGTAAGGAGTGCAGGAAGATACACACAATTTTGTAGCTCTAAAAGGTATTCACATTTCTCTATTATGCATTGCACACAGGTTTCACCCTCCATATAGTCTGCTTTACTATGTTAGTATCAGACCACTCTTGTACTTCTAATACACAATTTACAAATCAAAACCGTTGGGTGATGAATTGATGATCTGCAAGTACTGCAGAGATGGGCAGCTCAGACTGACTAGTGTTAGCAAGGAAGGAAGTTGGTTGGACAAGACCTTTTGACATCTGCATTGTATGAACACTCGGAGGAAATAGCTGAGCCCAGCATAAACTTTTGTATGAACAACACTGTCAGAAAATCTTTCTTTTGCAAGTAAAACAGGAATTGTTTTGAAAATGGTTTTCTCTTACTTTTTCCCAGTTTTCTCTATCTGCACGTGCACATCCTGCAGATTCTTTGAATTAACCTCATGTGGACATGTGCCTGCTCCGAAGGCAGCTGAATGTCACATTTTTACTATTGCCGACTATGGCTGAGTGTGTCAGCATACTGTGCCCAGCTGCATGTTATGCAACTTGTCCGCGTGCAGGAAAGGGTGACCATATCGCAGCAGAACTTAGTAGGCATTGTCATCCTAGGAAAGGTAGTACCTGTGGATGAACCTTGCTGATAGGATCACCAAGTATGATTTATTATTTTCTTTTTAATTAACACCTCTCTGGAATTTTTTGTTAGCCCTTGCAGTGGGGCTACCCCTGCACTGCAAGGGTTAAGTGCTTGTTTTGGTCTAGGGCTGAAAATAACAGTTCTACTCGCCTAATCCTATGAGCTGGCTTTCTCTTAGACCACAATTGTAGAAATGTCACCAGCACACCAATCCTGTTAAGATAGCAAAAGCTTAATTTATTGAAGTTTTTTGTCATATGACCAAACAAGCGCTTTCGGGACCGCACAGGGTCCCTTCATCAGGCTTTAGCATTGACAATTGTACAGTGATCACATCTAGGTATAAATAGACAGACAGTTGCATAGAACACCAATACATTCGCGGCGCCATCCGCTGTCACTGCGAGCACCCCCCACTACAAGGGACATATCGGTAAGGAGTGCGACAAGGATAGTACTTATTTTCTCTTAGACCTGTCCCTGGGGCATTTTCCCCCTTCCGCTGCAGTGGTCACTGAGTCATCACATTCTATACGCAGTGCATAGAATGTGAGGATGCTAACGGACATTCCATCACTGCAGTGGAGGAGCAGACAGCCTGTATGGAGTGCTGGCACAGCCGGCTGGCTTTAGGAGCGGGTGAGTAACTTTTATTTTCAGCCCTAGACCAAATGAGCAGTTAACTCTTGCATTGTGCGGGTAGCCCCACTGCAAGGAATGATAAAAAAAAAATTACCCAGAGTTCTTTAAGCCAAAAAAAAGAATAACAAATATTTATTTGTAGGATAATATACAGCATGTTTTTGTTAATCATTTGGGTGCTTGACAGGTTTGTTTTTTGTTTTTTTTCTTTTTCTTTTGTTTTTCTTTTGTTTTTCTTTTGTTTGATACTGGAATTTGATACTTTTTTTTCCAGCAGTGTCAGACAGGGTTTCCAACAAGGACCAGTACAAATTATGTGAAATTGAAGTTGCCAAAATAGAACTCAGGTTTTTAGCAGGTTTTATCATCTCCTGCACACATCTACCTTTTGTGCTCAGCCTGGAACGCCATCTTAAACGCACCTCTCTAACATATCACATTTGCTTGAAAAGTATTGTGTTGGTTACATCAAATAATATGAACAAAGTGCTTATGGTGATGACACTGTTCAGTTTTCTACTTGGTTAAATGCATTCATGACCAGCGTTAATCAAAATGTATATGTTTTGGTATGCAGCAGTTTACATGGCAACTTTTAACCTCTTTGCATATGATTTTTGTTTTCCATCTTTTTGGTATCACATATGGAGCTTGTTTTTGGCAATTTTTTTATTTTTTTATTTTTTCAATTTAAAAAATACCTTGTTTTTTCCCCCCACAGAAATGGACAAATGCCCAAACATTAGTTTTAGTTGGCTTAACGTGCAACAAATTTTGTATAATTAACACCGCTCCAAACTGTCAGTATATTCTATCGAGTACAGGAAACATATTCGTAGGTTTTGAAATGTAAGTCAGTGCTGTATTGCTAACAAATGAGCATTTATTTTAGATTTCTGGAATTCACTGACCAGGATGGGACATAAAGTATAGTAGGGCATTGTGAACTGTTTAATAATAAATATTTCTAAAAAATTGCATGTACTTGCAAAACAAGGCGTCACATTTAAAAATTATTACAGCTCATCAATTCAGAGTTAAACTAGGATGACAACTAATAGTTATTATTTTCACTTCTGGCATGTATAGGGTTTTCTAATGCATAATAGGTATTTATATGCATACTTGCATGTGTCCTAACTTTATGTATGTGCGTTGGATGAGGAGGGGGAACTTTTTTATTTATTTTTTTTCTACTATCACAATGGAGCTTGTAAGTCCCCTTATGTGATAGTACTTTTTGCAGAGACATCTAGGGAAGTCCCTGGCTAAACCTACTAGTTGTAACCCATAAGTGCTCAGCGATCTCCATATATACTCCTACTAAGCCATTCTGAACTCCCTGCATATGTCCTGGGCTCAAACGAGCAAGCAGAGTGTGGACACAGGGACAAGACAGTTACTGTGGTGGTCATTAATGGGTTGATCATAAAATCACTCAGCGAGGAAGAAGAGGACCCCCCCTCCAGAGAGTTGCCGCTCCCTCCCTGCACAGCCACCAGTAGCATGTACGGGCAGCTGTGCGGCAGCCAGGATGCATTGCCGTCCGCACGCACTCCGACCGGCACAGTTCCTTGCGGCCTCGGCTGCAGGTAACTGCCCGTCTGAGCTGCTTCTCTGTGGGGGGGTCCTTCATGGTTTCTTGCACCGGGGCCCTGAAGGTTCTAGTTACGCCTCTGGGCAAAGTCCTCATACAGCACTCTGCAGCTCCATCCTAGAGGTCAGAGTGATTTCCGGCATGCTGCAGCTGAAAAAAGGACGTGCCTGCACAATAGAGAGGTTGCCAGGAGGATGTTAATATACAGTAGGTTTAAGGGGCATGAATTTGGTGGAGTACATTTCCAGTCAAGGTAATTACTGCCTGCAGTGGTCCAGTAACAGGTACCCCAAAAAGCTTTCCGAAAGGATGTAAAAAAAAAATTAATTGGGAAACATTAAAAAAAGTACTTTTTTTTCAAGGTGTACAACTTGCTGGTTGCATTGTGTTTTTACTGCTAGATATTTCCATGTAGTTAATCTTTCACAAGAAGGGAACGTTTTGTTTGCATTGTGAGTCATCTAATTTTCATGAAAGTTTCGGACAGATTTATTTCCACAGAGTTCACTAAGGATTAATTTAAACACCACCAGCTTAGAGTGATCAAAGTCATTAACATGCATAATTTATATACTGTGTACTTTTTTTTTTGCTTTATGGTCTATATGGAGGGGTAATTAAATCCAAGTGTAGAGATTTCCTTTAAACAAGATCTTTTTTTCAAACTTAGAAGAAAGTGGTTTTTAAAGGGATGATGAGGCTAATTTGGTCAGCAGTAGGAAAATACATTTAATATACAGTATATCTGCTTGGTCAGTGGGTTAAAGCACTGAAGGAAGAGTGCTCGGTATGACAGGTAGCTAGTATTTTTTTTAAAAGTCCGCAATGACTGCTTCCATTTTTTTACTTTAATACTGCATTTAGTTGGGTTATTGTAGCATTTACCTGGAGGTATTTATTACGTTATGACTAATTGTTTTCTGTTAGCTTTTAGGGCTTGTTCACACCAAGCGCGTTCCAGAAGCAGAGCAGTTACAGACCGGATCAAAACTGCGTCCAATGTATTCCAATGGTATTTTGGGCTCTAGTTTACACCACAGACTTCAGTTCCAGAGCATGTAAAAAAGCTGCAGCAAGCCGTATTTTACCTGCTCTGGAATGCATGCACATGCCATGGAACGCACTGGAAGCCCATTTTAAACAAAAAAAAGAAAATGGTTTTTTTTGTTTTTTTTAACCCAAAAATGGGCCGAATGCATCAAAAACGTGGCACAAAATGCAATATAACACCCTGCACTGCGTGTGCAGAAACTCATGCAGATCTGGTCTGCATTTGGTGTGAACAAGCCCTTAAAGATTGTTTTCAGACTTGACCCTTAAACTTGCATTAAGAGTAAAACGTTATTACAGTCATTCAGCAGTACTACAAAGCAGGAAGCTGAGCCTGCATGTGTACTGTGCAAATATAGCACTACCTATATATGTTTACAAACGATATACAAAAACCGGGTATTTAAAACATTAGGACTTGATAAGAGTGTTTAAAGATTTCAGTCAAAGTACCGCAGCGCTGAATACTGAAAAATGGCCTGGCCAGGAAGGGGGTGAAACACTATGGCCTTCAAGTGGTTAAGATAAGCCTCTCAAAAGTTCACTCAAATCAATTCAACTCTACAATATGTAAATTGCCGAAATATGAATACCGTTAATAGGAAATACAATGGGGGGGGGGAGAAACCTCTTTCGTGTCTACTACAAAATTTAGAAGACCATATTTTGAATTTTTCATGCCATATAAATAAAAATTGTGTAGCCTACGTGGGTTTTTTTTTTTTATTGGGTAACTTTTTTTATGTTTTCTTTAAATCAAGAATATATAAGAATCGCACACGCACACACTAAAAAAAAGTAATAAAGTTAAAAAAAATAAACAATAAAAAAAACACCCTCAAACTAACCCTGCCGCCCCCGCTATCCGGTTGGCATTCTCCATGGGGGGCTGGTTGGAGGGGAGGGGGTTGCGCATTGAAGAACCTGGCCTTCAGGGGCAGCAGGGAGAGCAAATCCGGTCCTGGGTGCAGAGGGTTTGAGGGGGGGAGCGGAATGTCCCAGGAGGGGTGCGGAGGGTCACACACACTTTTATTTTAATGCATAACGTGTTTTATTTACAGATGTTTTCACTCATTTCTTTTCAATTGTTTTTCCTGAATACAAGGACACAAATGTGTAGTGAATCAGTGCAGTAAGTCAAGTGTGTATAATTAAGACTTCACAATTGAATTAATCCAGTACAATGGCTATAATTCGCTAAGCTGCCTGGGTGCACATTAGTTTACAGTAGAGCTGTCCTGAACAGTTTAAATAAAGACGGGAATGTGTAGAAATATCAAATAACAAATAATTTAAGACTCAACATAGGGGTGAGAAACAGGATTGCGTTTATACAGTATGATGCAATGTATTAAAAACATTTTACAACTTCCGGTTCCGGCGCCTGATGAAGTATCGGTGTATGCTCGAGCTCCGTCCCGCTTACTGCCTATAACGGAACATCCTCGCTTGCCTTCGGATCCAGCCCGTGACACTGTCTTCGGTTACGACCCGTGAATGATGGACAAGTTCCTCTCGCGGTCGCAAACAGGTAAACGCAACATATTACCGGCGGAGGAAACCCCACGTGGATCACCTGTAATGGCGCACCGGAGCGAGCCCAGAGACACCATGCAAACGGACAATCCTGGTGAGTCCCCCTCCTCAAGCACTTGTCCCAGGGGTAGACTACCAGGCACTAGCATCAGCGGTGGCATCATTTTTAAGCTGATCTGGCTGCTATAATCACGGACTCCATACAACAACATATGGGCAGCCTAAGCCAGGCCCTGGAGACACAGTCTAACCGCATTCTTAATGTAGAGCAGCGGGTTGGGGACCTGGAAGACCAAATGCAAGCCATCCGGGTGTCTCAAGCAGACTCACACAAACAAGTGGGATACCTTCTAGACAAGGTGGACGACCTTGAAAACTGCCTGCGGCGTAACAATCTCCGTATTATCGGCCTACCCGAATCAGTGCCTCAAGGGGAATTAATTCATTTTTGCTCACGTGCCATACCACATGCACTAGGCCTCAAAGCACCTTGCAGGGTGGAAAGGGCCCACAGGCTTGGCTCACCAAGGGATCAGCAGAAACCAAGACCAGTCATAGTCAGATACCTGGACTTTGCTGATAGACGTGACATACTGTCGGCTTACCGCTCTCAACACCACTTAGTCGCTGATGGACATAAGCTCCTGGTTTTTGCGGACTATTCGGCCATTCTCTCCAAACAACAAAAAGCGTTCCACGAAACCTGCCAACTGCTTGTGGCTAAACAAGTTAAATTTACCTTGGCATATCCGGCGGTACTCCTGTATAGCCACTCCTGAGGGCCAAGACAAAGCATTCACCTCTGCATCTGAAGCCTATACCTATGCCCGGAACCTGCAGGCTCCCACCGCACACTCGCCATCAAAAAGCCCCCTCGCAAGAAAAAGGCTTGAGAATTTATTGTTTGCATGGCAGTCGACCATTTTTTTTTTCTCTTTATTCTGCTCTCATACTAGGGATTCACCCCTAAGTGTTCCCCAAATGATTTGTTCACAGTTTTTGGGACGGAGCACACCTCAGTTATGCTCAACATGATCGAGGGAAACCTGATGATCTTGGTTATTCTGATCCTCACTTTTTTAGTAGGATACACCCGCCTAAGGGAAAAAAGGAAGTCGCCTACAGAAGACGCGATTTCACTTCTTTCTATGCGATATGTTCATATCTTGGTTTTTGTTGACGTTTTTTAGTTACTCTCTCAACCACAGATACACCATCACTGCTGTACCTTCCGCACAGGGAGCTGAGACACGGGGCGCTCCCGCCTATTTGAAGTGCACTGCAACTACTCTTTTCCTTTTCCTGACTGAAGGGTTTCACCTCCTTGGATGCGTGTGGAGCTCTGGGACCTCCGTATGCATCCCTCCAACTGTAAGTAATCACACATATCCACATGGTGTACCATTCCACACCCTCAGATGGGAACCACCTTTAAAAGTCATCACGTGAAAGGATTAAAATCCCCTAACAAGCGCACCCAGGTATTACGCCACCTTAAAAAACTTAAAAAAGATCTAGCCTTTCTCCAAGAGACTCGCCTATCCATGTCAGATATTGAGTGTCTCCAACGCTCATGGGTTGGCAAAGCAATTGGAGCACCGGCAAATGGCCGTTCGGCCGGAGTAATCACTCTCATTCATAAATCTCTGCCATGCTCCTTAATGTCGCATGCTTTTGATACCACGGAGGGCCGATGGTCCTGTGCTGCGATTCAAATAGGATCCATGACCATGGACCTTTGGAATATTTATGGCCCTAACACTGACGGCAAAACCTTCTATGCATCTCTTCTTTCGCGAATTAGTCATCCTGGGACTGCCAATTATCGTGTGGTAGGCGGGGACTTCAAAGCGGTGCCCTCCCCTCTTGAGGACAGGACTGGACAAGGACTGCAACCTTGTGGACTCTTGGAGGCATCTTCACCCACTATTCACATGCCCACGGAGTGATGTCCCGAATACACTTGATTCTAACCTCACCTAATCTATTAACGAAAATTCTCACAGAGATTGAAAACATGCTAATTTCTGACCATTCTCCAGTCTCCCTTCTGATGCACGGACTGGACGTTCCGTCCTTGCCCAGGACATGGTGCTTCCCATCGTATCTAACACATGATGACACTTTTAAGGAAAATCTGTCCCTATGGTGGATGGAATACACCAGTTGTAATGCTCAACATGTTAATGACCCGATATTATACTGGGAAACAGCGAAAGCTGTATTGCGGGGAAGAATATTGTCTTATTCCACCGCCCGTAAGAAGCTGACTCTGCAAAAATATACCGCAGCCTGTCAGACAGCTAGACTGGCCTATACCACCTACAAGTCTCACCCCACAGATTTAAACAGACTTGGGTGGATCCAGGCCAAACAAAATTGTGACCACTGGCTTGCGCAGTATGACTTGCAGATTCGTTCTTACAGGGAAGTGGACCTGTTTTAAGTTTGGTAATAAAGCAGGCAGACTACTGGCTAACCTGGCCCGAGGGACGCGACAATCATCACATATTCTTAGTCTATACGATGCTGAGGGTAGAATTCAGTCCAACCCAACCCAGGTTTCTGACATCTCTAATTATTACCAAACCCTATATAGTGTCCCTCCCTCCGAAAAGGACGGGGGAGACTTGTTCCTTAACTCGATAACACTACCCACACTGTCTGAGTTGGACAAAGCAGCTTAATGCTGAAATTACTGCCCAAGAAATACAGCAAGTGATAAGAGTCTTCTCGGGCCAAGGCACCAGGGCCAGACTGTCTTCTGACTTTTATGAACTGATGTTAGATGAAGTGTCCCCAACCTTACTTAGCCTGTACAACAATATTATGCGAAACCAGACTTACCCCCCTACATTTAACGATGCATTTATTAGATTACTCCCGAAACCAGGCAAAGACCCCTTAAATCCAGGATCCTACCGCCCTATTTCACTGCTTAATCAGGATGCAAAATATCTCTCTAAAATTATGGCAGATAGACTGGCCTCCCTCCTACCTTCACTCATTCTCCCAAACCAATCTGGTTTTGTATCTGGGAGATCAGCAGTAATCAATATCAGAAAGGCTATCACGGACCTGGAATACTCTCGCCTGTCGGGGGCCCTCTCCGCACTCCACGGCCTTGTTAGCCCTGGATGCGGAGAAGGCTTTCGACAGCGTGAGCTGGCAGTGGCTCCTGCGTGTTTTAAGACACATGGGTTTCGGGGGATCGTTCTTTAATTTTATAGCCACCCTTTACACATCGCCCTCGGCACGTATCTTTACCACCACCTTCCTCTCCCCCCCTTTCCCTTTTACACAGAGGGACTCGCCAGGGTTGCCCACTATCCCCATTGCTCTTTAATTTGGCTATAGAACCCTTAGCTAGATCGCTCTCCTCTAAAAATATTTTCACAGGGCTCCAACTGGGCACTCAAACCATCCAAACATTACTGTTTGCAGATGACATATTGCTCTTCTTATCAGACCCAGATATTAGACCATATCAGTTTGTTTGGTGCCTATTCAGGACTCAAAATAAATGTGGACAAAAGTGAGCTGATGTTTCTCTCCAAGCCCACCAGACCTAGAGATGTGTCCTGGACTACCCAATACCCCCTCCAAATACGCACCAGATCGGTCAAATATATTTTGGGTCCATCTACCAAAGCACTCCTCGGATCTTTATGCTCTTAACTTTGCGCCTGTCATACACAAAATCCTCCAGGAGCTCTTCTCTTGGAGCTCTCTCCCGTGGTCAGTCCTGGGCCGATGTCATTTAATTAGAATGGTTAGCTTCCCTCGCCTCCTCTACCCCCTACAGACCCTACCTCTCCTTCTCAAACATAAAGACGTCCAGTCTCTCAATAAGGCTTTTACAAAATTTATCTGGAGGGGCAGGAAAACAAGGATAGCGCTGAAGACGCTCCAGAAGCCGAAATCACATCTGGGAGCCAATGTCCCTGATCTGCGACTGTACAATTTAGCATGCCTATCTCGCCATATGCGAGACTGGTCTCATAACACTGAATATTATTCCAACACTGGCTTGGAGCAGCATTTGGCGCGTCCTTGGTCTCTTGCAGGGTTATTACACACACCTATTCATAAACTGCCACCTCACATTAAACAAAATGTTCTTCTCAGGGACACTGTAATAGCATGGAGGGAGATGAGAAAACTGAGTGGACTCCCGGGCATGACAACCCCCCTAATGCCTCTTGTATCGTCCCCTATATTCCCGACAGGCATGTCTACAGCAATTTTTCACAAGTGGCGAGAAAAGGGGATCAAGACCTTGCAAGATCTTCTAACCCCCCCAGGTCACATGCAAAACATTCCATGACCTCATATCTACTTATCATATATCCCCCACACATTTCCTCCAATATGGCCAGGTATCCGCTTTCCTTAAATCCCACATTAAGCTCCCCTCAAGACCCGACAATAACTCCTCCTTCTCCAAACTATTAGCACACCCCGCACAGAAACTCTCCCTCTCGCAAGCATACTCCATCATATGACCTTATCCTGATGCCGCCCCTTCCTTGAGCCCATGTTTTGCCCACACAAATGGGCTCCTTTACTTGAGATGCCCCCAGAAGACACATACGACCTGCTCCTCAAAAGCTGGCACGATGTATGTAAGAATGTCTGTAGCGAGCAATGGAGGGAGATGCAATTTAGATACATAGAGCGTACTGCGCCTTCAATTTCGGTCCTACCAACGCTCCTACAGACTGGATTCAATCTTGTCCTAAGTGCCACGTTCCATGCCCCAATTTGACCCACCTTTTTTGGCACTGCCCTGACATCCAAAGGTTTTGGGGAAATATACTTGATTACATGACACGCATGACACCCCACACAGGGACTCTTACCCCATCTTATTGTCTATTCCATGTATCACAAGACTCCCTGTTGGGCACCCAATCTTCATTGTCCCAATGGGAACACTTGTGCCTTTTGGCCACAAAAAAATCTATCCTCAGAGCCTGGCTCAATGCAGCACCACCCACAGTAGCGGACTGGAAAACTAATCTACACCAACTCATGCTTATCCATAAGCTTGATACTAAGCACAACTTGCATCTCACACATAGATTCTTCAAAACCTGGACGGCATACCTATTGTATGAACTGACTAGACCCCAGTTACAGGAAGTGATGACAATATTCCAACACTCCAAATGGTACCTATTGGCCAAATTGGAGGGAGCATTAGGAGGACTCGATGTTCTGTAAACTAACTAAATATCTAAATAAATATATCTGACCAAAGGGAGCGCTACTCTGCTTCATAGGATCCTGGGACACACCTTGTAGACGTTTCTTTATTCTCTTCTTTTTCCTAGTCTCTATTGCAGCCATTATTAGCTACTCCCCCTTTCACGCCCACAATCAGGTGAAATCCCTTCCACAAGACTGTCCCCCTTGCAGTGCATCTCATACGTTAATAACCTATTACTAGGACTCTTTGTTATTTTATGTATATATATATACGAGTTGTCAGAGTATCTAACAATTACGATTATATAACCACCCATCTTTCTTTTCTCTCATCTCTCTCTCTTATCTCTCTCCACTCCTTCTTCCCTCCTCCCACTCCTCCCTCCTTCCACTTCTGCGTCAGCCTCTCCCTTAAACCCCAGATGTCATCCGAAATGGTTTAGACGACGAATTGGGAGTAGTCCTACTTTATTCCCCTTCAACTCCATATTACTTGCTTTATTGCTGTTTCAAACATACAGAATTTGAGATTGCATTGTTTCTATTCCATGCTGTATGTTATGTTGCTATCTGTTATAATGATACCAATGTATTACTTGCTTATCCATGGCCTGTACATTGCCTGTCCGTAGGAGGCTACTTGCCCTTGTAACAAACCTTACTGTATGTAATACCTCCGAAGCAATGTATTTATGTGATTCAAAATTAATAAAGACATACTTGTTTAAAAAAAACAAAAAATACAATTTTTTACAGCTCATTAATTTACAGTTAAAATATACCAATGGCTCTATTTTTCTACCTCTAGTATGCATGGAGATACTCAATACAAATGCACAATTGGCTATATACGTATGTGCGTCCAAACTGCATATAATTCTCTCCTTTCTCATTTTCTCAGAACCAGCTCTTACTGGTTGTTTTTGACACCATTTTGAGCACAGTCGGACTTCTGTGATAAAAATTCCCAAGGGGATGGGCAGTTACCGAAATACTCAAAGCAGCCCATCTGCCACCACAGCGTACAATGATCAAAATCACAGAAATCACTGTTCTGGTGTTTTAATGTAAACATCACCTCAGCTCCTGACCTGTTCCTGCATGATTTTATGCAAGCTGCCACATGATAGTCTTATTAGATATTTTCATGAATAATCAGGTTCAGAGGTGTTCCTAATAAATTCCTCAATGAGTGTGTGCAGAGATTATCAGCCATAACATTATGAAAAACTGGCTGATCTTGAGTAGGTCCCCCTTTTTGCCACCAAAATAGCTCTGACCCATCGAGGCAAGGGCTTTACTAGACCACTGAAGGTGTGCTGTGGTATCTTGCACTAAGCTGTCAGTAGCGAATGCTTTAAGTTCTGCAAGTTGCAGGGTGGTGCCTCGTTTTTCCAGCCCATCCTACAGATGCTCGTTTGGATTGATGTAGGACTGCATCAACTAATCGATGATCGATAATGAGAATCATTGTCCGCTATTCTCATTATCGACTAGTTGATTCTGCAACTTAGGTGATCGTGCCCCCACTTCACTTCCGTTTCTCCCCATCCCCCCGCTGTGCCTCCGATGCTTCTCCATTTACCCCCCCTGCTGTGCCTCCAACGGAGCACAAGTCGATTGCACCTACGTAGAAAAACAATGATTGTGCTACACATGTCAGGTATCGCTTCATGTGCCAGAGTAAGAGCAATAATTCTTGGGCCAATATTCATGGCTAACTCTAAACTGATGACCGGGCTTTTATAATATATATTTTTGCTTATGAAAATAATCGTTAGTTTCAGCCCTAGATTGATGCAGAATTTGGAGGCCAAGTGAGCACCTCAAACTCATTGTTGTGTTCCGCCAATCTTTTCTTGTACCATTTTTGCAGTGTGGCAGGGTGCATTATACTGCTGAAAGAGATCACTGCCATTAGGGAATACCATCTATGAATTGGTGTACTTAGTCAGCAGCAATGTTTAGGTAGGCGGTACATGTCAGAGTAACATCCACATGAATGGCAGGAGCCAAGGTTTCCCAGCAGAACATTGCCTATAGCATCACACTGCATCCACCAGGTTTGCCTTCTTCCCATAGTGCATCCTGGTGCCATCTCTTAACACTTCCCATCCGTCCGAAAAACGGAGAGAAGCTGATGAAGGACATCTGTGCTTCATCAGCTTCTCTGGGGGGTCTCTAGGTGACATTAGGGCTCTTGGAGACCCCTGATGTCTCCATAGAGGGGACCTGTCACTGTAATTTGTTATTACATAGGGGACTTCTTAGCACCCTATGTGATAACAATAAAGTTAAGTGTAAAGAAAAAATTGCTCACAAAATAAAATTTACACACAAATAAAAAAAAACCCACAAGTTTTTTTAAAGTCCCTCACCCCCACATAGATGCGCAAAAATGCGTTAGGTGTGCCTACACGCAAAAACGGCGATTGCGCCCATTACGCCGCACATGTTGCATATCGCAGCAAACGTAGTAGTGAGAGCAATAATTTTAGGGCCATCAATCACTGATAACCGTAAAGTGATGAGCGCTAAAATCTTTTAAAGCAACGCCTATGGGCAATTTTGGCTATGTTAGTTTTTTGCGATTTCGCGGGCGTGCGCAATTTTAAGGCTTGACATGTTTGTCTATTTACCCGATGTGACCCCGCCTTTTATATTTGACCAAAAAATTGGGTAAAAATAAATGTTTCCTAAAATAATAAAGGGAAAACCGTTTAAAAAAAAAATATTCGGTACTTTTTTGTTATAGTAAAAAATAAAACCCCCAGTGGTGATGAAATACAACCAAAGTAAACTCTATCTGTCCCCATAAAATGGTATACAATTAGTTTCAGTACAGCGTTGCATGACGGAATAAACGTCAAAGTGCTGAATACTGAAAAATGGCCTGGACAGGAAGGGAGTGTAAACACCCCGGTCAGCAAGTGGTTAATAAGCAACACACACGCACCTAGCCATCCACATGATGTAAAAGAAAATGTGATTCATCAGCCCAGGTCACCTTCTTTGATTGCTTCGTGGTCCATTTTTGATGCTCCTATGCCCATTGTAGGCGCTTTTGGTGGTGGACACGGGTCACGATGGGCACCCTTACCTGTCTGTGACTACACAGCCCCATACGCACCAAACTGCAATGCTCTGTGTGTTCAGACATCTTTATCAGTATAAGGATCAGTGAGTCATTGCGTCCAATACAGTGTATTGGAATGTTCCTCAGTGTCCTAACATCTATCGCCAGAGTGGAGGTGGAGAGAGGCTGCAGCAACCGGTCTAGCTGCCAGGCAGGACAGATTAGCAATACTTTACATCTTTACTGTACATCTTTCTTTGTTACTTTTGATTTCACATTTATTTTAGAGGATTACGTTTTGGCATTTGTTATTTTTTTATAGGGCCACCAAAGTCTTTGAGATGTAGATGGATATTTTTTTCCCTCTTCTATAGGCAGGCAGTCAGCGCCCTGTAGTCCTCCTTCAGCACTGTGTGTGTTAAGAGATGGTTTTTAATCCTTATTAAAATGGAGCTTCACATGGAAATATTGTCAGTTTCTATTTCAGCTTTATGGTTAGCCTTAGTGAAAGAATTAGGCTTATGGGGATTTTAAGTTTCTCTGCGGAGATGATATGCAAATAAAGCAAGACAGACATTAGAACTGTTACATGAAAGTCTTATAGATGTCTGTTCAGGAATATAGGTCAACCATGCATATGGTAGAACGTTAATATGGTTTGGACTGATAACATGTTTTAGAGTTCTTTTTCTTAGCTGTGATTTTACAGAATGTGGCTAACCATTTAAAACATTTTCTAATTAATGATAACATAGCCAGTCACAGAAATTTCAGTTGGTTAAGCCGTTTCATTACTGGTTTCACTCATTGTGGTGTCCCACAAGGTGTAACATCTGCTGGTTTTGGTTGTAACTTTTCTGTTGTTGCTATTAGGTGGGACTTGGTAAAGTAAAAAAAATTAGTTTAAATGAGAATTCCATACACCTGGGCATGCATCTACTACAGCTTAGTCTTTATTAGCAGAGATACTTGCAATATATTTACAATTTTAACCAAAAATTGCAATTTTTGAGTAGCTAAAAGGTGCTTTTGGTAGGCAGTAAATGATTGGTTGTCAAATATATGCGTAATAGATGTATATAGAAATCTAAAAAAAGACTCTATCCAGATCTATTCTATTTTTTTTTCAGTGTAGGCTGATGGGGGCTGCCTTTTTACATTCTGTACATCTTGTGTAGTGGTCCAACCTAGTAAACTTCCCCAGTGATGATCACTAATTAGGACTCATTTTGTGCTACCTGCTGAATGTCAGCAGATTCGTCATTAAAGTCAGAAGTCATATGCTGAGCGTCGGCATTCGTGTGAGCATTAAATGAGACCAGTATTGAGTAACCTTTTGGCTTCTGCAAATGCTAGTGCTGTGGCTGCCCCTGCAAATCGTACTTTGGGACATTGACCTGAAAGAAGTGCATAACAGGGAAGTCAGAGTAGTGTTTGAATATGTAGCTTGATTTTTATTTTTTTTTGTTCCACGACAGTTATTTAGAAAGTGCTGAAACCATTGTATCTTCGTGATCGGCAGGACAGTGGCATTTTTTTCATTAGGAGAGGACAGCAATCGCCGCCTCCATACCTCTTTAATATGGCTTTTCTTGTAGGTGCATTTCACAACACTGCATTACAACACATGCATTTGGAATGAGCTGTCAATGCACCCAACACACCAACGTGACATTGGCATGCATTTGCATGGTGTCCATGAAGTCTGTGGGGAATTCCATCCCCAGGAAATGGCTGAGCAGGACACAGGGACTGCCCCTTTGAACATACTGATCAGAAAATGGCCAAGAGGTATACAAGTTAATCATATTCTCGTCAGTCAGCTTATTTGCACTTTCTGGAGTAATTCAACTTAAAGGAAATGTAGTTTCAGAAGGAAGTTTACACTTGTTTTGCTTGGTGTGAAACCTGAAGCTATTTAGGTTAATATGATGACCATAAATCATGTGTTTCCACCTTTTGCAGTCAAATTTGAGAAACCCCCCACTGTGTTTTATATGTTCCCATTCACACAGCATGCCTACAAATATATATACTTTTAAAATATTTACCTTTCTAGTTTGTTTGAAGCCGGTGTTGTACATAGGACTCTAAGGCCTCGTTCACACCAGACACAGTGTGTTCCGGCCTGATTCTGGCAGGAGGGGGCATGGCGATCCAGTGAAGTGAATGGCACCGTAGCCACGCCTTCCGGTCGCAATGCGATTGTCCGCACTGGAACGTAAGGCATATCAATGCCTGCAGTCCGAACAAAATAGTGCTTGCAGCATTTTGTTCACTGTGTCTGTTGTGAACAAGGCCTAATAGACAGCTTCTTTTTGTTTAAAATAGTTTGCAAAGTGCAATTAGGGGACAAACTGTCCCTTAGTCTAACATTAACATGCAATGTACCCCGCAAGCCTTGAGATCTTTAATACTTTTTTAGGACAGATAGTGTGCACATCTAGTTTAAAACTGATGGTGAGATCTGTTAGCACAGTACAGGCAGGGTTAATTATTGTAAATGTAACCCCCACGCCCTATATTTAACATTACAAAGAAGGGGGCAGCTAAGTAAGATTCTGAGAAAATAAAAAAGCTAAACAGCATTTGTTTAAATACTTTTTTTTTTTAATGCTATGGGAATGGGAACAAGGTGTTATCCCAATTTGGCTGCAAAAGTGGAAATACCCTTTTAAGGGCTTGTTCACACGACGTCCGGATTCTGTCCGGACCAGATCCGTGCGCTCAAGCACCCAAAATGCATCCCAATGGATCCCTATGTGTTTTATGGGCTACAGTTCTCACGAGCGCAGTCCGTTCCGGTCTGGCCAGAGAAAATACTGCATGTCACATTTTGTCCGGTCCGGAAACACAAAAAAGTTTACTGGAACGCATCAAAAACGCATAGCACCGCGTCTGCAGATGTGGTCCGGACATCGCGTGAGCAAGCCCTTAAGTTTAATTTTTAGTAAAGCTTAAGCACTGTTCCCTCCAATCTGGGCCCAGACAGTTTGTACTATATGGTGATGGTCAATTATCCCACCTCAAACTTAAGCTGGCCATACACTATTTTTTGAATTTCAATTGATGAACCGGAAAAAATTTGCACAGTGGGTGCTGCTGTCATCCCTCGATCTGTTGATCATCAGATTCGGTTGGAAAATGTTTGGGCATTCTGATATAATACAATGCAAACAGCAGGAGATTCCTCCATCAACGCTCTTAAGCGTTGATGGAGGAATCTGTTATGTATAAAAATATTATTGTATGACCAGTTTAAGGCAGAGATTTGTTGGAAAATGGCTTTGCATGTGCTATGATGTAACATCACGGAACTATTGTGTGTGCTTTTTTAATCCAGTACTAATTTGTGCAGCGTAAGTGCTACGTCAGATGGTTACTAGTGATGGAGCAGAGCTAGAGTGAGAGATCTTTGGTTTGCATAGTGAGTGATTCTAGAATGTTTATTGAAAGATTTGTGTTGCCAGTAAAAGGATTAACAGGCTAATATTGGGCTAAATTTGACAGATGTCTGTCTGAGGTTTATGGGTGGTGAGACATTTGCCCATTCCCCCTAAACCTTTCAGCTGTGAACAAAAGCAGTGCATGTGCCATGTAGAGTAAAGGTTGACCTTAAAGGAGAACTATGAGGTGAGTGCTTTTCACTCACCTCATAGTTCTAGCCGACCTGTGACAATGAGACTGTCACAGGTCGGCTCAGTAGATCGGGAGGTGAGCGAACACATACCGGGTTCGCTCACCTCTCAATCCTGTCACGGCTCTCTGCCGTGACAGGGGGAGGGGCTGGATTCCCCTCTCCCCGCTCCGATCTGCCAGCGCTGACTGGCGGAATGGACGGGGGAGGGGGCGGGTACAGCTGGCTCTGCCTCTAGATAGGCAGAGCCAGCTGTCACTCACGCAGCTGGGCGGATCCCGTCGTCTAAGTCGGGATCCGCTCCGGCTGCGGCGTCTCAGTATACCGCGAGCTGTAGCTCGCGGTATACTGAGCTTAGGGTAACGGGAGGACGCTAGTTTGTGTCCTCCCGTTACCCTAAGGAGAACTATGGGGAAAAACACTGACCCCATAGTTCTCCTTTAATGGCAGCACCTACTCTGTTCTGTTTATTCTGTTTGCTGCTACATTTAGCCACCAGGAGTAAAATGAAAATGAGTTACTTCAGGTTATGGGAGAACATGTTTCTTTCATTCCCCACACATAACATGGAATCAGGTAAAGAGCCCTTAGCCCCCTGTGTAAGTTAAGCCTCTTTTGCTCCCAGCTATTGCAGGTAATGCCGAAATCTGGACAGTTATGGTTTACCTAGAGGGCAGTAGAAAATCCCCCCTTTTTATTTATTTTTATTTAACGGGAAAGGTTTGAACATTTGTAATCATATTTCTATCTGTGTCGCTACTGGGGGGATTTTCCCCTGCTAGGTGCTTCCAGTGTTACTAAACTGAGACGAATGTCTTCAGTGAGGACTCGTACGGTAATAAAAAAAAAAACATAACATTTTTATAGGGTTAGGAAGAGTACAAACTTTTTTGTTTTCATTGCTGCTGAGTTATTGTTTGAAAGATTCCATCACTTCCTGTCCCAGGGACAGTCTATTTAATAATTAACACAAAATTATTTTTTTAACCAGTCTATTCAATTAGCAGCTCTGACTGTTTCCACTTGGGTTTCAAGAGCTGATCTTTAAACCTCACCTCATGGAAACTTAATCTCAAAACTAAAAATGGACTGTAAACTGTTTTTAAAAGCAAGATTTAAAGCCAAGAATTTTAAAGAAATATTTGGTGTTTTTGTAATGCACAAATGATTCAGCATTAGTTGCCACAATGAACATTAATCATACATTAAATATTTTCGAATTTAAATCTTTTCGAATTGACTACCCATTGCCAGCATAGCATATGTCTGCTTCACACAACTCTGTTCATGAACTGCAGCCTGATGTATACTTATAAAAGCTTTTGCAGGTGAGTCTCTCCCATCTCATCTTTCCCCACTATTTACTGTCATCTGCTCCCTTTTTACCTTCTGCCCATTTTTACCCTCTGTTTCTTCTTATCTCTGTCCACTCTGCTATTTTTCCATGATGCAACTCTTCGTGAATCGCTGCCAGTGCTCGCAGATGGAACTGCAGCAGTCGACTGCTGAGAAGCGATATGAGGAAGAGCAGAAGTCCAGTGATGCATCTGAACTATGATTACTTTCTGTATTGTAGTTACTGTATTTCAGTCAGTGATCCAGTTTGTTTTGACTTGCCAGTTTCTTAACCCACCCCATTTGATCAGCTAATTATTTCAAAGGCGTCTTCTAAACTTGTGCTAGGTTCAGTGATTTCTCAGCTTGTGCCCCACCTGATGAAGTAGCGTGCTCTACCAGTGAGATTCCCCTCAACGTTCGAAAATGGCTGTACTAATTGTCTTGCACTATACAGTACTAAACGCTAACTTTATAAAGACAATCATGAACGTAAATGGAGATAATAAAAACCATGAACATACACCAGCATGGAGCTTAAAAATCAACTGTGACTGTCTCTACAGTACCTAATGTTCCACATGTGTGATATGAACTGTGAATAATACTGGAATACTGTATCAGCTGAGCATTATTCTACAGAATTTTAATTATTCCTCTGTAAAAACATTTTTCTCACAGTTCAAATCTCTCTTCCAGGTTGGCTGAAAACCTTTGATGACTATTTCAGAGACCAGACACAGCACATTCTTAATAACATGGTTGTGAAACTACAAGAAGATAAAAGGAAAAAGTTCATGTGGTCTGAGATTTCATATTTTGCCAAATGGTGGGATGGTATTGATAACCAGAAGAGAGAAGCAGTAAAGAAGTAAGTATCCTAGTTCTGGTTCTATAACTTTCAGCTTACCTAAAAAAAGAAGGGAAAAACTGATTACTGAGTACTACAAAAATGGGTAAATGCATAGATCCTATCCGTAGGAGGTATTTACACATCTGATATGTTTTTTGTTTATAGCTATAACTTAAATAATGTCACCTGTATACGCCAGTGCAATTTGTACATGTTTGCTAGGGGCCTGTTTGCCAAGACTTGAGATGACAAACATGTTTTCTAGAATGCACAAGGAATTCTTTTCGTGCTATGGTCTTGCACATGATTTTTTTTTAATATACAATCTAGACCAGATGCATAACAAAACTAAAATAATTTTTTTTTCTACTTTGATTAGCGGTTTAAAAAAGCGTTTATAAACAAAGACACAATGTATTATTTTGCTACAATGCATTGTAAAGTTATTCACAAATGGAAAAAAACACTTTCAATTTTGTATTTTTAAAAAAAAAAGAATAATAATAAACATACTGGAAACCCTGTGGGTTTGGTGGTCGAAGAACAGAAAAAAAAGACCAGGCTAGAAACCAAAAATTATTTTTTCCTCCTTGAGAGACCCCGTCCAGAACCCACATGTGAGATTCCAGTCCTCCACGTAACCCCGAATGCCGGCGGTAGCCCACCAACTCTGGCTGAATAGGTGGGATGGGGCTGCGACTCCAAGCAGATGGTTTGTTTGCAGGCCGCTTGGATGCAAGGAGTCGGAAGCCCTGGAAGCACATGAGATGGAAGTAGACCTAGAGGTATAAAAGGAACATCTCAAAGAGGAAGAGGAGGGAGCTCATTAGTGGGAATTCTTACTTTGCTAAATCTGGGGAAGATCTGTGTTCTTATCTCAGTTGCTGCTCAGATGAGATTATCCAGCGAAGTGCCAAAGAATCTCTTACCTCCGAAAGTGTGAGGTTGAACCTTTTAGGTTTGATTCGCCAATTAAGAGTTGAGCCAGAGCTCACCTCCACCTGGACTAATAGGAGGCTGATGTGATAGTACATAACTGGTATCCATCGCTGAGCTGCAAATGAAATCGAGGCCAGTCAATCTAACGCCACACAACAAATTGCTGGTTGGTACAAGTTGTAGCAGATAAATCCCTACACAGGGATCTAGGCCAATCCAATAGGGTCTGAGCTAGCAATGCCAGAACTCTACATGTTACAAGGCTGACCCCAACAATGTGCATTGAACAAGATACGTATTCCAACCACTTATTCATGCCCTCCACAGGAAGGATAGCCTTGTTAAAGGAGATGTTTTGGGAGAGTAAAATATGCTCTTCTCAATACTTGGGTACTGCAGCTATACTACTGAGAACTGAGCGATTACAAACTGATGATCGCTCCGCTCTCAGCTTCTCCCTGCAGAGCACAGTGACGGTCAGTCCCCCCTCCCTGCTGCAATTACCCCCTCACAGGCAATTATGGTACAAATACAGAGGCTGAAGCTGCACTCATCAGGGGAAGTGCAGTGTCCCTTATAGGAAGCAAAACTTAACACTGAAAAGGAAACAGGCCCAAAAATCCCTGAGTTCTGGAACAAGATTTACTAAAACTCTTAGCCAGACTTTCTGGCAACTGACAAAAAACCAGCACATACATAAATTAGATTCCACTGAATGCCCTAGGGCAGGGGTGGGGATCCTCTGGTACCCCAGCTGTGGTAAAACTACAAATTCCATGATGCATCTGTCTGTGGGAGTTGTGGCTGTGAGAATCTTGCAATGCCTCATAGGATTTGTAGTTTCCCCACAGCTGTAGGGCCGGGGCTTCCCCACCCCTGCCCTAGGGGTATCGCAGAACTGAAATTACCAGACCACCAGCCTCGGAGCCTGACATAAACCGAAGGTCTGCAGGAGGCACAGCAAGAAGGAAAAACCTCCCTGTGCATTTCCAGTATCTAAATGGGGCAGACATACATAGTTTTTGTATTCAGGTGGATAATTAAGACTGTTTTTTTTTGTTCTGTGTTAAGTGAGTAATACAAAGTGCCAACAGGCATAGTATGTGTTTTGTTGGGGGTACTAAGTGTGGCTTTACTTGGGCGTTCACACATTCACAATTCACTTGTACTTCTGAAAGTGGTATAAATAGCCAAGCAACTAGGAATGTTGCTTTGCTCAGTAGTGAGATTTCCATTATTTGTACGTATGTAATCCTTTGTTATACCATGATATTGTTGTATCATAATGTTGAGTTTGCAATTATATGATCATCCCTCCATCACATCTTGGTCTAGTGTATATATGCATGAGAATAGTATTGTTCATTCATGCACAGTATTTGATACTTAAGCCATGCAGGTTTTGCTAGTAATGTGTTTCATGCAATTCGCTTTTTGTTCTTACTGGTAATGTTTTAAAAATAGTTATAAGGCAGATTTTTTTTATTTAAAAACTATTTTGCAATAAAAATTAAGTCAGAGCGGTACTATCACAGCTTTGGAGTAATGGTTTCAAGGAAAATTAAGAGTAAATCACATTTTCTATTTGAAATGCTTATGAAGCACACAAACTGGGGTCAGTTTTGGAACAGATGCAACATTGGTGGGTTCACACCTTTTCCTGAATGAGTCTTCAGTCAGTGAATATTTGGATATCTCTTTGGTTGAAATGTTTTTCTGCAGAACAACATGGTCCTCGTAAAGGGTAAACTGGTCTCGCTGCCCCTCCTGTTCTCCATGGCTTAGTTCATTGTTCAAGCTTATGATATTATGAATTGGGTTCCACCCTCCCCTGTTAAAGCTTGACATGCTGGGAGTGGGGTGGGTTCTACCAAGCTGGCCACTTTTTTTTTTTTGCCTTTGTCCAAATTCTTCTGTAGGCAGCAGTACAACCCAATTTGTCTCTGAATTATTTTGTCCCTTAAAGAAACTGATTTTGCAATAAGTAGAAGATTTTTTTTGTTGTTGTTGCAAAAGTAGAATAAACTGAATTTATTTATAAATTCACTTGTGCATTTGCCACCTCAATTTAATAGGGAATGTTTAGCAATGCCACTGCCAATGCCAAAACAAATATTTATTTTAGGTAATTATTTTCCAAAGCTATGGTAAGCACTAATTTGGGAAAAACATAATGATAACATTGCCAGTGGGATTTAATTAAGGTACACTGTACCTTTTTAACAAGGCTAAAATGAAAACTTGCACTAAACTTTGTCCCATTTAAAAAAAATAAGTAAAAATATTGCAGTGCTAATGAAGACCGCATTGATTTTACTCTGGGGGAAGAATTTATCAAAACTGGAGGAGACGGAATCTGGAGCAGTTGCCCATAGTAAACAATCAGCTTCTCAATTCATGTAGATGGGTGTACATACATTTTGACCCCAGGGTCCTGAGCGCAGCAGCTTTTATATATATATATATATTATATTTTTTAATAATATTTTATATTATTGAATTCTCCTTTTAAATTATACTTATTCCATAAAGCGCGGATTATATATATTTCATCAGCTTCTTAATTCAGTTTGTTCAGTTAAGCTTTAAAAATGAAAGATAGAAGCTGATTGGTTGCCATGGACTCCAGATTCTATCTGCTCCAGTTTTGATAAATTCACTTCTGGGTATATTGGTAAATAAAACTTTTTCCAAATAAGTTTGGTCATTTTCTATTTCAGCTGAATGTTCTTTATAGTTTGTATAGACTAGACAGTATAGTTTGTTTTCTCAGCTGGATTTGTTTCTAGTTGCTATTATCAGAAATTAGGTATAACCTACCCAGTGGCATATTCATTTAACTATTTTTCAATTGTTACCCCCGATTTCAGGCTACCTCTCATCTCTCATGATAAAAGACACTGGTCACGAAGGGGGTTAATAAAGGGGATGGATGACCTAATTTAGGAAGATCACCTTTAGAAATTTCTCCTGAGAGAAAAGGCTGCTTAAAGCTGCCCACACACCTTACAATTTATCTGCAGATTTTCTGTGGTCAGATGGAAAAGGTGCAACAGATTCCTCCATCTACACTTAACTGTGTGGATGGAGTAATCTCCACCTGGGCCAATCTGTTGCACTTTTTCCATCTGACCACAGAAAATCTGCAGATAAATTGTAAGGTGTGTGGGCACCTTAAGAGGGGATATGATCGCAATTCACAGATCTATCTATGGAGACCTCCAGTATCTGGAATAAACTGTTTAACCACTTCAAGACCAGGTGTTTAGACACCCTTCCTGGCCAGGCTATTTTTCAGTGTTCAGCGCTGCGGTACTTTGACTGACGTTTATTCCGTCATGCAACGCTGTACTGAAATTAATTTTATACCCTTTTTTGGGGACACATAGAGCTTTATTTTGGTGGTATTTAATCACCACTGGGGTGATTAAATATATATTTTTTTACATTATGTTAGGAAACATTTATTAACCAGTTTTTTGGTAAAATATAAAAGATCGGGTCACGTCGGGTAAATAGACACCAAACATGTCAAGCTTTAAAATTGTGCGCATCCACGAAATCGCAGAAAACTACCATACCCAAAATTGGCCATAGGCAACACTTTAAAAGCTTTTACCGCTCATCAGTTTAGTGTTATCAGTGATTGATGGCCCTACAATTATTGCTCTCACTGCGACGTTCGTGGCGATATGTAACATGTGCGGCGTAATGGACACAATCGTCTTTTTTGCACGTATGCACCCCCAACGCATGTTTGCATGCGTGTATGTATGGGTGGGGACTTTAAACATTTTTTTTTGTTTTTTTTAATTCTTTTTTTATGTGTAACTTTCAATTTGGGGGGGGGGGGT